GCAATTACAGGAGTTGGTTAGCGGAGCCTCCTAGCATTTTATAAAGTTTATCTTATGCATTAGGGGCAGTCAATGCGAACCTCTGAAGATATTCTAATGGCTCCATGAATTATTTCATTCAATGCAAAACAATAAACTTCCAATACAATTGTTGCCGAATCTCCAGATTTTTTAGGAAGATTTATTTTTATTTTACTTTTCAAGTGGTAACCATACGTTTACGTTAAAATTGTTGTTCTGTTTAACAAAGTAGAATTGTAATAATTTTTTACACCACTACATATAAATGATAAAAATAAATAAATTAAAAAATATTGTAACTATCACTGAAAAGTATAACACGCTAAAATAGTTCAAATAATCCTTATTTAGAATTATAAAATCAATTGTTATCGAAAAATACTACTGAAAAATCTGCAATTTGAAAACTGAACATAGCCATAAATAACAGTGTCGTGTTATAATAATTCTTATTTAGAACTATGGAATCAATTGCTATCGAAAAAGATCACTATATATATATCTATATGCTAAAAAATCGNTGTGGTTTTACCCAAGAAATTTCGGAAGATATGAGTGATTCACATGCTGAAAATGATGACAATAGCCTTTCGCTCATTCAAAATCTTTTAAATCAATTGCCTTCTGAAGATGAACCAGTGGATGCTAAATTTTTCACGAATTTTGACAGTGATATTCCTACATGCAATACTTCCGTTGATCAAGAAAATCTAAAGCAAGACATTTGCGAAATGTTTATAAATGAAAAAGACGAAGAAGATTGTGTTAGTGAAGAGGAAGTTCAAATTGAAGAAAATGATGAAATTTCCGACTCAGAAATGTTAAAGATGTGCAAGAATATGAAAACGTATGCCCTAAATAACTGTCCACAAATGCTAGATTTACTAAGGAAACTTGAAGGGATGACTGAAAAAATAATTGTTGAAAAGAAGTGTTTTAAGCAAAGAAAAATTTCTGATTTTTTTACTGTGAATGGAACTTCATAATAATTAGTAGATTTTTTTAGTGAGTGTTTTATTATAGCTTGTATTGAAAATGTTTTGGATAATCTAGTATTGCAACCAAAATAAAGGTCAGTATTAATTAAGGAGTATTTTATCATTACGTGTTATTTAAATCGATTACTACGGAAGTTCTTCAACTAATACCAAAAGAAATAAGGTGAGTTTTATATTAATTATCTATAAAGGGATAAACCTATTTTAGTTATTAGGGTTGTTATATAATTAATTCATTACTTAATATAGTACAGTTTTTCGAATGTGCATTTAACCGTATGTATATTGTCCGTTTTAAAAAGTCTTCATAAAGTGACCACCTCTATATAGTGACCATTTGACTTGGTCCCGAGGGTGGTCACTTTGGACAGGTTCCACTGTACTTCTCATTTACACGGAATTACCAATTACTTCTCATTTACAGGTCCCTCAGTGGACTGTTTTAAAATTCTTTTTATATTTTAAAATTTCGCTAGCAGAAGCTTTTTCTTATGAATTAAGACTGACCTAAAATGAGATTTCCTTAATACTATATGCCCTTCTAAATTACTCTTAATAGATATTCCTGAAATATATGATTTTAAAGGCCTGCGTAAACTAAGTTTTCCTTGGATATAAATTAAAGATATGATAAAATTAAATATATTTAGAGTAAAAACAAATATATAGAAATATGATAGCTCGATATTAAATTTATTTCAATAAAGTGTAATAAGTCTCACTCGTATAAATATTTTTGAAATGACTTTACTTAAAAATGAGCATATGTTTCAGTTGGGTTTTTTTTTCTTCTTTTTTTTAGGAATAAAAAACTTTTTTATAGGCTGTAGTTATTGAATTGATAACTATTTTATTTATTGTTTAATGAAAATATTGTTGGCCTTCTTACCCTGCTTGAAATTATTATTTATTGAGTTAGAAATTGTTTATTCTTCAATGAAAAAATGCTTGAAGAAGGATCATTTGAAAATAACCTTTCTTAAAACATCATCCTTTTCGTAAAAAATTTTTTACTGTTTTGTGGAAATATTTTTGTGAAAATATTCTTTGAGCCATCCTATGCAAAATTACAAGTCATTGTGTTAGAAATAGATTATTCTTCAATGAGAAAACTCTTAAACAAGGGTCTTAAAATAATTTCTCTTTCGTTAAGAAATCCTTTATTGTTTAATGAAAATATCTAATGTCTTTTTTTAAAATAACAACCTCTTACAGCAAGAAATCGGGATGCCGGGATGTCATGTGTTAGGGACCAATTTAAAAATGTGAACAACATACGCAAGAAATTACATAAACTTGATCCAATTATACACTTTGTTCCATGGTCGGAAAAGTATGATTTACAATTCTCAGGTATTAAAATCAAAAGATACCAAAATTTCTTTTCAAACTATATAAAATATAAAACAAATAAAATCGGAATGAAAGAAAAACTACATAATCTTGAATTAATTATACATCTTGTTTCTCGGTCAAAAAAGTAAGATTTGTAGTTTTTCAGGTATCAAAATTAAAAGATGCCAAAATTTATATTCAAACGAATTGTTTTTAACTTTGTCATGAAAAGATACCAAAAATTTCTATTCAAACGAACAATTTTGAACTTTGTAGTCAAACGATAAGGAAAAATTATTTTCAAGCGAACTGTTTTCAACTTTGTAATCAAAAGATACCAAAATTTCTATTCAAACGAATTGCTCTTAATCTTGTAAAAGATAAAATAAACCAAATCTGAATTTAAAAGAAAAATACTTAATCTTAAATCAATTATACACCTTGCTTCTCAGTCGGAAAAGTAAGATTTGTAGTTTTTCATATATCAAAATCCAAAGATACTAAAATTTATATTCAAACGAATTGTTCTTCTTTTTGTTTTCTACTTACAACTGTAAGCCTCATGCTATACTTTGTGGTGCATGAGGAGTTTTAAGTCGTTTAAATAAAAAAAAAAATTTCAACTTTGTAACCAAAAGATACCAAAATTCCTGTTAAAACGAATTGTTAAACTTTGTAATCAAAAGATATCAAAATTTCTATTCAAACGAGTTGTTTTCTACTTTGTACAAGATAAAATAAATCAAATCGGAACAGAAAAAAAGTACACAATTTTGAATCAATTATACACCTTGTTTCCTGGTCAAAAAAACTAAGATTTATGATTTTGTAGACATCAAAATCAAAAGATCCAATGGAATCGTTTTCAACTTTCTAGAAGTTAATATAAATCAAAGCAGAATAAAGTAAAATGATTTTTAAGATAACAAGTTTTAAGATAATAATTTTATCAATATATTTAAAAACAATCAAAAAATTACTTTTATTTAAAGAATCGTTACATTTATTTTTAATTCGGAGTTCATAAAGATTAATGTAAAAATATATACATAAAAATTAACTTTACACACATATTAAATTATTGATTTTTTTCACTTTTACTATATTGTCCTTTTACATTAACAATTTTTCTTCCATGATCAATATTTTGATTAAAAATTATCCATTGAAAAAGTGCCAACCTCCTACTATATATTAATTAATAATAGGTTATAATATTCAAATAAATTAATTTTTTTAATAATTAATAATTAATTAATTAATTTGCAATTTTTTTTATAATAAATTTTTCTAATCAAACTAATTACTTTTTTTAAATATCACCACCTACACTTCACAACATCTCCACATGAATTTAGGAATTTTTTTATCTGACTTAGTTGTATATCAAATGAAAGAATTTTTTAAAAAATTAATCAAATGTCCAAATGTATATTTTTCAACTGCTTTGAATATGGGGTTTAATCTGCAGCTAAAAACCGAAAAAGTGGGCAACTTTATTATTGACTTATTATCTGCTATTTACAACGAAACACAGATCAAATTAATGTAAAAAGGACGAGCTGATAAAATCATGACTAAATTTTAGCAGCAAAATAAACAAATTATTTTCATTAATCCTCGAAACATACGTTTTAGGAGCATTTTGATAACTCCATTCTCTAAAATATTGAAAGAGAAATATTCAACTAAATTTATAAATGTTTTTAATCATAACTTTACAATATTTGAGTGGTAGTATTTTCAATTAGTTATTAAGTATCATCATTATTTGAGTATTATTTTCAATTTTCTATTACAAGCTTTAATTATGTATCAGTAACTTATCTATAGCAAAGTAGTTCTATCAATATCACCACCACACTGAGTAATTATGTAAAAGAAAGCTCTCAATAGTACAATTTTTTTGTATTACCCCATCGCGAAAATAAATGCTAGATAAACTTAAATTCCAGGTATGTGATCAATACATGGAGCTGCAGTTGCCATTGTACCTGTATTGTAAAATTTCAGCAGTATATTATTCGATCATTTATGTACGTCAGTGTTTCCCAAAGTGTGGTACGCGTACCCCCAGGGGTACGGGAATAGTTTAGTGGGGGTACGCGTTCTTATGAGAAATATGTTACAACAAGCAAAAATTTCAAAATTTTTTTATTTAAAAACAAAGTTAGCCATGAAGATTTACGATTACGTATTTTTCTATTGGCTATTTTTTGCAGAGTTAACAGGTAATAATTAGTGGTGTCAACAACCAGTTGTGATTTTTAACTTTTGTGTAATTTTTTTATAATAAAAAATACATTAATTTTTTAATTAGAGGTACACAGCATTACGAAAAATTTAGAAAGGGTGCACAAAGATCATAAGTTTGGGAAACACTGATGTACGTTGCATAATTTTCATTTGCCTATTCCAGTGATCAGCCCTTTCTCCTATAAAACCTCACGCTCCCACATTTAAAACCAAATACAATAACAAACTGGGGCTCGCGAGCCACACTTTGTTGACTTAGTCAAATGATTAAGAGTCCATTTTATCAGTACTGTATATTATTTTATCACTGCTTTGTATGGTATAATTGTTTATACGTATTCCTGGTTATTAAGAGTATATGCAAGCATTAATAGAGTATGAATTACTTACCCATAAAGCAAAGCAGCTCCAGCAATAGCTCCACCACATTGAGCAGTTATATAAAGAAAAGCTCTCAGTGGTGTAATTTTTTGTATTACCACCATAGCGAAAGTAAAAGCTGGATTCACATGAGCTCCAGATATATGACCAAAGCACTGAGCCGCAGTTGCCATTGCTAGTCCAGTAGTGAATGATTTTGTGAGAGTGTTAATGGAATATAGAGGCCACATTACGTGTGAGCCACAGACTAAGAAAACATACATAAAAGTCGCCAAACATTCAGCAATAATGGCTCTCCAAAATTCCAAAGTTCTTAATTCGGCTATCATAGTTTTCTTTTTGTTGATTTCGCATCGCGATTGTTCAACTTTGTGAATCAAATGCACAAGAAATGCTTCTAAAGAAACAGTCGCCATAATTGAAAACTTACGCGTTTACTTAAAGCAGATATAAATAATCAGTTTAAATTTTGTTTACATTTAGAACATTTTTATCTAAAGTAAAAATGATTGAAGCTTATAAACCTTTTCCATGAGAGAAGTATTTAACACTTAGTAATAATATTTCCCAGAAGTTTAAATCATTTGATTAAAAAGCGAGCGGACTAAGCGAACGTTACAGAAACGGAAATCTGAAGACAACTCCGTAATTAACAGATACGCTCTTCGAATCAATAAGCTTCCGCGAAAAGTCTGAGTCGTCCAATACCTTCTGTACCCAAACCACGTGCTGATGATAACTAAGAGCATGTTTCACTCTGGATGACTTTTCAGCACTGCAAGTAAATTTTTAGTGCTGCCATCTATTGAGTATGACATCCATCTTATTTTATTAGAACATGTGAAGTATGAGTTAGAAAAAAATTAAAAATACGACTTTTTTGTAATTTTATTGTTTGGAAACTATTATTTATGTTTTTATTTTATTGTTTTGCATTTAATTTTCTCATTGAAATTATATAGTTTAAGAAGGAGACAACTTTGTCATCCAAATAATATTCGATTGAAATTAAATAATAAATAATTTTCTAAATGACTTGAGGAAATTATATTTTACTTGAAATTATCAAACAATTTTTTACAATAGTATGCGAAAATATTTGATTATCTTAAATATTTCAGAGGAAAGTGAAACACGTAAAACGTGAAATTAATATTTAAGGGTTAAAACTTAATTCAACCACTCCCTTAAATAAACTATTCAGACCGTATTTCCAGATTGCGGCTATCTCCCTCCCAAATTTTGAAAATTAAAAATTCAAATTTGTGGGGAAAAAAATTGCAGTAAAGAAACTAAAAAATCTCTAATTTAATTATTTTGTCATCAGAGTCTTTTTTGCATTTTAGAATTTTCTTGCCTTTTAAATCGTTTTCTGAAGAACGTTGATTTTAAGAAGATTTCTTACGCTTACACGCGTGACAAAAATAATTTAGCATAGAATTCATTAAAATTTCGTACGTAGATTTTGTATAATATTATGTATGTAGAATTATGTTATGTAGAATGTGTTATGTATGTTATGTAGAATGTAGAAATTTTCAAGCTAAGAGCTGAGGTCTAAGTTTGAAAAGTAAGAAAATGTACAATTTTTCTTTAAAAATTCGATATTCGCGATCGCAACACTCGAATACGCCATCTGGGGAGAGACCGGTTTCATGCTTTTAGCCCTTCTCCCTTCCCTCTCCTCCTCTTTTCAGTTGTATAGGAATGTACTACGATATTTTCCCTTTTCTTAATATTTTTCCTTTTTATTTAATAAGAATATTTTTTAAAATTTCCATAATACTTTTCTTTAGAACTATGTTTAATGTAGTTTTCAGTTCCATATAGTTTTTCAAGTTAAAAGATTTCAATCTATATGAAAATCAAGAGAGAAACTAACGTACTTCCATCCTCTATGACTTTCCACACACATCTAGTCCCTGCACACGCTAATGGGGAAAGCATGTGAAGTGTTGCCATAGGAAAAGAGTTCTGCTCTACGCCACCTGCAGCCCATTTCGATCGCCAATTAAACAATGAATTTTAGTTCAATTTTTTTTGTTTGTTTTTTTCTTTAAATTATTTTTAAAATTTTAGTTTAAGTCTCAGGTAATCACGTTATCGATCAAGAAAAAAATTTATTTTGAAATGCATGCATTACAATTTGTTGTAGAGCTGCTAGCGTATCATGAAGTTTTTTTAGTTTTTAAGCTCAGATTTGCTTTCATTTTGAAAAATATTTTATATATTTTTAATCTTTACTTTATACAATTTTAGGAACCCAGCTTACCTAAAATTTTAATTAAGCCATCTTTAAAAGAAAGAAAAAATCTGTTGAAACCAGTTGGATACCAAAAAATCATCTGTACGCAATAATTAAAATCTTACTGGAAAATCTAATCATTAAATTAAAAGATAAGCAGATAATTTGAATTTAAATTCGAACATTTTTTGAAAATTTTATAACTTTAACACGGATTTAAGTGAAGTGTTTAACACTTTCTTTATAATATAACATGAAAAAAATCTAGCAAACTTTAATTAAATAACTATTTTTTTATGTAAATATATACTGATACTGAAGAACCAAAAAGATTGATATGGAAGTTGGGCTGCTCAGGTGAGGCATAAAGTTTTGTGTCATACATTCAACAACGGTACATGAGTGGACATTCTGTTCCAAGAGGCCATATTAATGTAAGTCTGTGCAATATTTCACAAGCTTACAAATGACAAGGCCCTCAGAATTTAAATCCGTGATAATTGTCGAAAGGATCATGCAGTGCTCCCACGAAAACAAACAAAAAAAAACGGACTATCCTGAATAATTTTTGACCTAATGGTCGAATCTTCACTTTCTAGGACTCAATCTTTATGGTTCAAGGTGTGACCCCGAATATGCTTATTAATTGGTGCAGACGATGTCTTAAATTACAAAATCAGACAAAGAACATTCTCTGAATAAACATACCTTTCTTTCAAGAGTGTCATATTAATTTAAGTCTGTGCAATATTTCACACGCTTTACAATTACCAACGCCCCTCAAAATTTAAATCCGTAATAATTTTCGAAAAGATTATACAGTGCGCCACTCATTCTTTATGGTTCAAGGTGTGACTTCGAATATGCTTATTAATTGGTGCAGACGATGTCTTAAATTACAAAATCAGACAAAAAACAAAACATTCTCTGAATAAACATACCTTTCCTTCAAGAGTTTTTAGATATCTGTCCCCCATAATATAGAGGAAGCCACCATCTGGGAAGTACGGTCCCAATAGTTTGGCCAGTAGAACGATCCAAAGTTTGGATCCCTAATGTTAATTTTTGTTTTGCGTATTTCACTATATCTAAAGAACTTTTTAAGTAAATGAAAAAACAATTTTCACACATAAAATTTGCTTATCCAAAGTTAATTCCATGCAAAAAATAAATTTCAGTAAATATTTACTATTTTTAATTATTTTACTTAATAATAGGCGAAAAAATCTTGAATTGCAAGGTAGGCAATTTCTGACATCATTGTAAAATATCTAATTTCACATGGCAAAATACAAAATTTGTACGAAATAGAACCTGAAAAATCGAATTTTAAATATACGACATTTTTAACTATTCAACCGATTTAGCTCAATTTTTTTTTTATTTTTCTATATAAAATTAGATATTCTAAAATTATGCAAAAAATTGCATACCTTGTAATTCAAAAATTTTCGACTATTATTAAATGAAATAAATAGTTACTGACATTTATTTTTTGTGTCTAACAATCTTTGGATAAACTAATGCAACGTTTTAAAGTATTTTTAAATCTGGATAACCTGCCAATGTAGCAGCAGGAGTCGATATAAGAAAATTGGCTAATATCATCTCTAGAGCCGCGCTGGCTTAGGGGATAGAGCATTCGCCTTCCATTGAGGTGAACCGGGTTCGAATCCCAGCGATGGCTGGTCGATACGAATTCTGCACACGGCCCGCACCGACGACAGTGCTGACGTAAAATATCCGCAGTTGTAGACGGATCATGGGTTAGAGTCCCCTTGCCGTCAAGCTAACCGTGTAAGGTTTTCCTCTCCATGCAATGCAGATTAATTCCATCAAAAAGTCAACCACGAAGGCAAACTGGATTGGGTTTAAAATTGCAAGCCTACTGAGTTGAACATTAGTAATCGTAAATCCTAAAATTGCGTCGGCTGTTCAACGACGGTACCTGAATTTTGCATATGAGTGCCTTCAACCAGCTTTACTGGCTCTTTAGAGCATTTGCAAATAAATTACAAATTTATTATCAAATTATACGAGTGCTAGTCCTTTCTGGGAAATCTTGATTTTTAAAATTCAGAATCCTTAGAAATTTTTTCTATACTAGATGATAATTTCTACGAATTACTAACAACTTCTTTTGATTGTGTTTTGGTCTTCTTTTTCATGGGTAATAGTTTATAACAAGATTCAATTTTGTTAGATATAGCTATAAAATATTTAAAAGGACTAATCTCTCCGACCAACAAAGCATAAAATTTTATAATTAAGCTATGCAGTAAATATTAGTTAATAATATCCTATACGCATATATTTTACTTTAATAATAAATACAGTAAAAACGTTACTTAGATTTGCTCTTATGCATTAACCACCGAATTTGAACGGCAACTTTAAGTATCTTGTTGATATGAAAAGTAAAATTCTACTTAAGTTTAATGTCACTATAAACAATTTACAAAGAAACATACATGGCGAAAGGATATTGATCGCTATATAAATAATCTTTATAATGAACGCTAATCACAATAAGGAGTACCATGACAACAAGCTATTTATTGATGAAAAATATTCTCACTCTAGTTTCAATCCAATGTCCCCAGACGATTTTGTTGCATATTTTGAGTGGCATTATAATTAGTAAGTCATATCAGTTATTTAAAAAGTATGCTTAAAAATTAGTACATAAGTTAATGCTCAATTTTCTACATTTTAGGATTTTACTTTAAATTTGGATTTCATTTTGAAATTAAAGCCAGAAATTCTTTTTTATATTTGTTTAAGTACTGAATAAATGTGAAATAATTATAGAAATAAGTAAGGGGAAGCAAATAGCAAACGCTAATTTCATTAAGGTGATTCTTCTCAACAAAATTAGTACTAAAAAGTAAAGTTGTCTCACAATAAAGTTGTTAGTACTAAAAAATAAAGTTGAAAAAAATTACATTAAAATAACATTTAATTCTTTATTCAGTAGATGTTTAACATATTTTAATTACTAAGTTTTAATTTTATTATGTGTTGTCAGTAGATGAATATACTTAATTGTAATTATATATTACTTATAAAACTATATTAATTTTACCTTAATGATTATTTATGAAGCTTGTGACATCACTGAACAATCGGAATTCATACATAACATGACTCAAATTTGTAACAACATCTGTTTGAATTTACTAACTTAAGAATAATATTCATAAATGTAAGAAAAAAAGACCATTACATAAAATAACTTTTATTCATGAATAACATACTTTATATCTATTTATATAAATGTACAAATAAATAAACAAAAATATGTACAAGACTTATTCTTAAACAATTGGATTGTTCCTTATGAAATGAACTATTTTGTTAAACAATTCTTACACACGATCTTTCTTAAATTATTTTTAAACAAAATATATTAATACACTTCTGCTTGAATTACAACGTATTTTGTCGATAAGTTAAAATAAGGCGTTATTTGAGTAAAGAATGTTTTAACTGCCAATTAAAAAAATTAATCTAAGTGTTTAAAAACCAGTAAGAGACACGTTGGTACTATAGGGTAGGCGAGGCCTCACGTCATTCCGTTTTTAGAATGTGAATTAAGAAAAATAAAACTTTTGTCTTTAACAATAACAAATGGTAACATTTTTCAAATTATCAACAATGATTTTGCAAACAATAATGCTACTCATTAACCTTTTAGGCATTCAAATTGTTTTTTACTGTTTCAGTATCTTAGTTGCTTTTACTGTTCTCTGCACTACCAGGTAAAGAAAACACACTTATCTTATAGTATTAAACAATGTTGCACTTTAGTTAAGAAGCTTTGAAAGTACGCATAATTCAAAATAATATTTTACAAATCGTGCTTCATTGTATAAGTGTTTTACCTTCTTAAAAAATGATATTTTAATAATTATCTTCCACAAAACTGCCGCGCAGTTGAAAAAACAACGTAAGTGCTTAACGAAAGGTTTCGAGAAAAGTGACCACTATTTTCCTTCTATTACGAATGGTATGACAGCTAAAATAGAACTTCAGAAAACTGATAGAATAAAATTTCTTTTTGAGAAAGATTTTTGGCAATATGTAGCATAGATACCAAATATATAAAAATCTCAATTTTGAATTTTTTATCACTTTTGTTGATTTTTCTATTCTAGGGATATTCAATAAAAATTGACAACAGTATGAAACAGTCAACTAAAAAGCATGATAAACTATGAATAAACTTAACATGACTGCAAACAGTTCATCATTGTTATACTTATCTTAACCCACTGACGGTTCTGCAAGTAAAAGGTTGCATTTTAAACTGCAGTCTTCTCTGCATAGCAAAACCGGTTTTTCCATGTTAATGGATAGGGGAATAGTGTATAGGGGAGAAAGATTCTCCCAATTTTGCCAATTTCCTTAACCACCAGTGGGTTAAGAAACTGTAATTGAAAAGTATAAGTTAATAAAAAGTTCATTTCATAAGAAATAACCTTAAAATTACATAATATTACAAACAGGTAAGCAAGTGAATTATGCAAACAAAATAAAGAAAAATTAAAGAGTTGCTATTGATTTCTCAGAACATTTTATCACTCAAATAATCATGAGATACTTATTACATAATTAAAATCTTTTGAAACATATTAAAATTTCAAGTTGTTGAAGTTTTTAATACGAGAAACTGGCACAAAGTTTCAATATATATGCATAGTTAACGCTCAATACCACAATCGCTGCGGTCCAAACAAAAACGGATGTTAAAAAGTGAAGTAGCTATAACGTGAATACATAAAATGTGTGCAAATATTCACTTATATTTCATAAATATACGGTTTATTTGTCAAAAACATGCTACACTTTAAATAAAATTATGAAACTAACAAATAAACAGTTTTTTTTATGTCATTAAGTATTATTTAATATAATACATATAAGGTTAAAAATGCATTTAAATTTTTTAAAATTACTTCTTTTAATACTGAGCATAAACTTCCAGTCATTCCAGTAATTTCAGCTGTTATAATGGAAAGATCACACTAATGGGTGGTCGTACTAAAGAGCATAGACTGAATATTGTATATATATATATATATGGGTCATTCTCACGAAAACTGTCATTTTTCAGTTCATAAAATCCCAAAAAAGTAAAGTGAATAAAAAGCTCTGAAACTTTTTATATTAATAGAAATATGTAATGGCATTATAANTGACATATTGGTATATTTTAATTACCTAAAATAAATAAAAAATAAAAATTGATAATTTTATTTTTATTCTTTTGTTAGCTTGCATTCCGAAGGACACTTTCCCTGAATTTTTTTTCTTCGTAAGCTGTAAAACAAACATAAAATATACTGGGGACATGAAAATGACTGTTTTTTGTGAGAATGACCCATATATATATAGTTTTTACAACAGACTATTATAAAACTTTACATAACATTTCATTATTTATAACATTGGTTTTCATAAAATTATATAAGCAAGTTCATATATGTTTTATAGCGCAAAAATTTTAAATAAAATTATTTTTAACCTCAAATAAATTAAAATAGATAAACCTAAATTTTCTAAGGTTTTACATCATAGTAGATTTTACATTTTTTCTTTAGTTCAAACTTTCAATAAAACATAAATTGGCAAATTAACTAATTCATGCTTCACTGAATTACCTAATTTTAATTTTTCACCATATTTTGACTTTATTTTTTAAATTTAGTGTGATGTTTTACAATAAAGATTTATTATATATTTTATTGAAACTGAACAGATAAAGGTGAAAAATTAAGAAATATGTCAAAATCTAACTTAAATAGTTTTGTTGATCTTTCATAACCAGAGTATATTGCGAAATAAAGATAAGCCACAATAAAAATATACAAGTTGTACATATGTGTTAATAATATGCTATTATTAGGAAGTAGGAAAAGCTGTACTTTCATTGAAAAATACTCACATAAATTTGCAAATTTAAATATGTCCTAATTAAACCAAATTTAATAAAATATGCCTAATAATCAGTAACCACAGTGAAAACCAACTGAAATGTGCAATAAAATATTACATTCCTTTTTACATATTATATCTCTATTTTTTTTAAAAGGCCTCCTACGTGACAAATTTATAACTTAATAAGTAATATAAATTAGTGCTTTTTTATTTTAGAAACATATGTGTGATATGCATAAGTGTGTTACTAAGTAGACAGTAATGCAGTTTTTTTTAATTGAAAAGTACTCTCATAAGTTTACATTAAATATGTACAACTTAAATCAAACTCAATAAAATATGCCAAATAATCACAGTAAAAACCAACAGAAATGTGTAATAAAATATTACATTTCTATTGATACATATTGTATCTCTGCTTTTTGAAAAAGCCTTTCAGGTGACGAATGTATAACTTAGTAAGTATATTAAATTATTGCTCTTTTTTATATTTGAAATGAAATAATATTCTACAACACATTAATATATTGAAAAATTTTAAAACATTTCAATGTGTAGACATTTCTAAAATAAATTAATATTTTAAAAGAAAAAAAAAGTTTTGCTATTTTTGATTTTATCAAAAAACACTTTTCATCTCTTAAAAACATCATGGTAATACTTTAATACAGATTTCTATTTGAAACATAATATTTTTTAAATTTATAATTTTAAAAATTAATTATTTTGCACAGAATAGTTTTTATGTTTGCTGTTTAGATACATCATTTATAATTTTAAAAATTTACATATAAAAATTAGTCAAAAAGTGAAGGTACAAGTGTAGTAATGCATAGTATTTTGTACAGCAACTATTGTTAAAAAAAATGAAAAAGTTAAATGATTTTTCTAAACATATAATATAACAAGATGGTTTGAGCGTGTCTGTCATCTTGACAATATATGAACAAATGATGGCACTTATAGCAATGAAATTTCAAGTGAAGATAGATATTGACTCATTCTGATACAAGACAAAGACCAATTTTTGAGTTCTTAATTAACTTTTTAATTATAAAATTACCAAAATTACTTTATAACATTTGATAAAATTTTGCACATTATGATCAACTTAAGTGCCCTAGAATACAATCATAAAATTTACACTTTGAAAACTAAATCTTTAAACTGCAGAAAATTTGTATTTGTAGAGGAAAATGAGATAACATGTGGTAAGTCAGCAAACGACACATGAAAGTGGTGATAACAGTAAGAGGCTGTATTTGTATTACATTACAATTGTACAGTAATAATTTTTAGATGAAAGACGCAAAATGTGAAAGATATTTGTAAGTTTACAAATAATTAATGAGATGAGCAATTATAAGCATACATTTATGGTGCTTATAGTCAAAATCATTTAGTATTTTGTAAAAAGAAAACATAATTTTAGTGAAAAGTAATTGAATAATAGTATAATTTCTTTTATGAAACACAATCATAAGCATTAATATTCTTAAAATGGAAATAAACTTTGTTTAAAAAAAATAACTAAATAATAAACAAAAAATAAAGTAATTATAATGTGTATGTACAAAAGGAGGGAAATAAAATAATTTCTAATTTCTGTTTGCTCGCACGGGTATGTCTTCCACAACCATACTGCCACATATATGGTCATATGCTGTACGGTTGTATTGAAAAAAGTACATGGTGGCACAGATTGGGAAAACAAATGCCAATGAAAAATTCTTGATAAAAGATCGCAATAGTGCCCTAAAACAAAACAAAAAAAAGATATTGTAACGAAACAAGAGGTTAATACAGCAGTAAGAAAACAATGTGAGCAAGACAAATAATATCAAAAGCTTAGAAGCAGTTGGTAAAACTTCATCACACTACAAGAAAATAACAAGGTAAAAAAATAGGAAGTATGACAGTTCAAAAATTTTTGGACAAAAGTTTAAAAGCCAAGACTTTTTCAAATAATATATAAGGCCAACTAACTTCATTAATCATTTAAACACATAAAATTTACTTTACGCAATCTGATATAATAAAATATTTCAAGTTTAAAAATTAAAATATATCAGAATGCTAAAAAAAAGTTTCAATAAGTTTAACAATTAATTATTTTCATTTACAAATAACTATTTTTATTGTCATGTATAATACAAATCACACATGTAATTAAATTTTCTAAATGTGCAAATATATGTGAAAAAAGATAAATGAGGTTGAACAGAAAAATAGGCATGCTGAATAAAATTGTAATTTGTAGAAAAATTACTCTTATTAACATACAAACCCTTAAATCATTAATGCATCATTTATACCATTTGCAATAATAATTTAACAAACGAATCATTAGTGAGACATAAAAAAAAATTTCAAAATTCTACTTCCATTAGTAAAACGTAGAAGAAGAAGACATTTTGATACAAGTTTACTTTTTAAAATCTTTATCAATTTTATCAATAAATTTACAAATTACATGATAATAGTGTATGACAATATGTTTTATTAAAAAAACAAAACTAGTATTTATATTTAATATTTGTAATTTAAATTTTAAAATATATATGTAAGCGTTCAGTTGCAGAATTTATGAAGTAAATCTGCAGCAATATTTTCATCTAAATCTAAATTTGACTGCAACCTCAAAGCAGTCAGAGGTTAATTCAGCTTAATGTAATAAACATACAGCATAATTAGCAAATATAAGGTTCCTAAAAATTATGCATAAATACTCAATGTTAAATTTAAATTGAATTTCATACAATGATTCTAAAAGAATGGAATAAATCCCAATACAGTAAAATCGGTAATCAAATAACAGAAAAATAACATTTTTACTTTCTGTTCTTTGCAATATTCTTTTAATTTGATGGTTCAAGTTTTATTAAAAGAAGTTTGAGATGCTTCAAAAATGAGCCTCAGCAATTTTCCCCGGTTTGTTTGTTTGCTTGCTTTTAAGGAAAAAGAATAAAAGTTAGATGAAAAATAATCTGCAGATGCTGAAGTAATCTGCAATATCCATAGCCAAGATGGGGGTTTTCTGCTACAGGTTGTACACATTAGCATTTTTATACATACAAATGATACTTTCAAGAGTTTACAAATAATACTTCATATTAACTATAGATAATAAAGATTTTGAACGAATATTTATTTATTTTCTGTAATGATAATGTACTCGTTTGAGTTCAGTATATTATTGTAAAACTATTATAATGCTTTTCCTATTACATATATTTGAAATAAGCACTTTGTCATACAAAGACAATGAGTTGCAATACTGAAAATCATGTGACATAAAAAAAATAATAATCATAATAACCTACAAATAACCAATTAAATTAAAGACATTTAAAATTGAACTAACCATGTCAATCCTAAATCTTTGGCAGGGTAAACNGGACCCATTCATACATCCATAGATCGTAATTTTGACCTGAATCAGAGAACGATCGATCACCGATTCAGTACCCTCAGAGGTATTGATTTGTTATGGGAACATGGAGGACTTTTGTGGCTCGACAGAGTTAACGTGCATCAGTCACTTTACTACACGGGGAGTCTTCGGCCGGCGAGGTTCGAACCCATGAACTCTCGGACACGGGCCCAGCGCCCTACCGACCAGGCTATCCCAGTCTTATCATCGTGTGACGTAAAAAATAATAATAATCATAATAGCCTACAAATAACCAATTAAATTAAAGATATCTAAAATTGCACTAACCATGTCAATCCTAAATCTTTGGCTGGGTAAACTCTAACCATATTTGCATCCAAAGGAACAACTGTTTCACAGGAAACTACTCTAAGATGCATCAAAGTTTTACCTGGTGTGGCACCTCCATGGCCCAGTATGCCTTTATGGATGAATAAAGCCTAAAATCATAAAACTTAAATGCTTAGTTACAAAAATCTTTCTAGATGTTGCATCATTATACCCAAAAACATTTGATTATATAAATGTAAAATTTAAAAGCCTCAAATTATTGCTGTCTGTAACAAAAACTTTACTTTTCGGAATTAACAAAGTTTTAACAATTTGAAGATAGATATAAAACAGAATTATAATGTTTTTACCAAATTTTTACAAATCTGTAAATTTAAAATTTAAATTACATGTTCAATAGAAGATTTTAATACATGTTATAGATATAAACAAATAGTATTGTTCACATTAGCATTTCACATTTTTTCCCGCATTTGATTATAATTGATGTTATAAGCATAAGACGTACCTAATTGCAAAAAAACTTACTTTACAAAGTAAAATTCTCAACATTTTAAATGCTAATAATCGACTATACAACACAGGACTTTAAGAAGTTAAAAAATGTTGGAAGCCAGCTAAAATTTTTGGTAACCACTAAAAACATTAGTAACTCACCTCGTTTCTAGTTTGTTTGTTTTTTCCTCGTCAAATTGGAATTTTTTTTAAATACCAAGCATAAATATTAAATACTGACATTTAGAATATTTATCCAAAAAAATTAAAATAACAAAAATCTAGGTGTAATTTTTATGTATTATATTTTTACAAATAAATCTGTATATTATCAGAGAATTTGCAATTAAGATTTATAAGGTGCCATTTATTAATAGCAGGTTTTTTTTCTTCATACAAATTTATAAATTAGGAAGCAACTGTGTCAAAACTTTCGAGTCTGTGGGACGTCAAAAATTTCGAAAACTTGGATCCCAATTGCAATGCCAAGCGTATTTGCGTATTTCACGAGAGACCTGCAAATACATATCAGAAATAGGAGGGAAATTTCAAGCAGCCAGTATTTATTTACACTATTTTAAATTACAATGTAACATTTAATAAAGATCATACTACAGTTTTAACAATTTTTGAAACAAATATTATTGTTCTTCTTAACTATAAAATAATAGATTAATTGTATTAAATGATAATCAGTATTTTCATTTAATTCCATTATTCAACACAAAGTCAGTATTTTATACAAAACTATATATACTTAATTTATATTTTATAGTATATTATATTTTTAATACAAAAATGAAAATAATCAATCACAATTTACCTATGAATTTAAGATTAAGGAAAAATAACACTTACTTCAAAAATGCATACTACAAATCTATGAATAACTTCAAGGGCTAAAATTTCAGAAGTAACTTCCATTGCTCGTTGGTAATCAACTTTTTCATTTTTTATGATGTCTAAATCATATTTGTCCAAATTCCTAAATCAGAAATATATTTTGAGATTATACAGCACACCATTTTCATTTAATAGCAAATGATAATCTTTTAGTGTTATGATCTTTTAAAATATTAAATTTCTATACACTCTATGCAATGTTAATGACCACTTCATTTATTTTTGTAAAAGATATTCATAAAAAGATCAAGCAGTGGGTGGAAAAACTACATATTTTTATAGTTGAATACAACTACTTTATTAGAAATGTAGTTTACTAAAACAACTTTTTTTTTTTAATGTAGAGGTTATAAACTAATTTCAAAATGTAGTCACTGTTATATAACTTTTAAGAGATGATATTTTCTGAAAACTTAAATTAAACCCATGTTCAACAAAGTTTTAAATCAGAAATTGGCTTATTCATCCATGAAGAATTAATAAGAAACATTTATTCATATTTAGATGGGCCAGTGTGTAATTCTAAACCATTTTTTTATAAATTTGATCTTATAATTTCAATTTTATATGCCTTACCTGACAGTGAATGTTAAATTTAAGAAATGCTAAGAAATTATCAAATATTTGCAATTTTAATTTGTTGAATGCTTTTCTTTTTACTCAAAGAAATAAAGTATAACAAAAATTATAGAGAAAATATGCTCCTATCCATTGTAATAACATTAATGTTTCAAGAGTGTATAATCACATTTAAAAGTATAGCCAAAATAATTAATTAGCAATCATTTGTAATGGCTAATTTAAATATTAATTTTAAAAAGATAATTCTTACTCATCTGCCACAGAGGCAATCTCATTGTGTCGATTGACAAACCTGCAAAGATTTTTATCAAGCAAATTTAAAAGATTAGTAATGTTTGGACCTTACTTTTTTACAAAACTAACATAAAAAGTAGTTGCCAGGAATTGCTACAAACTATTTTCTTTTATATTCAGTACTTCTTTTAAAAAGCACCACATTACACTACAAACTATGAAAAAAGTAGTGATATTAATAGTTTTTTTACTTGTAGAGCGCTACTTAGACTAATACAAGATCAATAGTTAAATAAAATTATACCCCATAGTTATGAATCATTTTTTTTAACCTTAAACAAATTTCAAAGATATACATTTGAATTTTAATTAAAATAGTTGGATATAGTCATCTGACAGTATAAAAAGAATTAGGGCAAATATTTAAACAAATAACTTATTTAGACATTTTTAATAACTTTAACTTTATTAACATTAATATAAATATAACAAATTCAAAAAACTCACACTAAGTCAAAGAAATCTACAAGAATGTAAGTAATAAGGACTTTAAACAGCAGCAAGATGCAAAAATCAATTACTTCAGCAGCTAGTCTTTTAAAAAGGGATGGAACCAAATATACTGTTCCTAGAACAAATAAAAAAGTAAAAAAAAAGATCATTGCCAACACTAAGTAACAACATGCACAATGACAACACAAAATATTAGACAAAATAAATAATATTTTATATTAAGGTGACACTCTTAATTGGTAAATAATAAATAAAAAGATGGGATAGAAATTTCAATAATTTTTTTTACGTCTCTCGTGCAGTTGATTATCCCTAAAGTTTTCCAACTTTTTTGTAGGCAATTCTATATCAGTACCTGGCCCAAAAATAAAGGCCAATTTTAGGCCAATTTAGGCAGTTTTAAGCAACTTCCAGGCAATGGCTTTCAAAAAACTAGATAAAACATCTCAGAAGGTTACCAACTCGAGCAACTCTAGACACCTCTCTCAGCCTACTGTTTTTTTTTAAAACTTTTGCAAGTTTAAAATCTCTTTGGTGCCGTGATAAATACAGTTGCCGCAAACAAGTAAGCACTAATAAAGAAATATCCCCCTTAGACACATAACATTTTGGAAATCTTTCCTAATAATCAATTTCAGTATAATATTTACATTGCTTATTTATTATAACTTTTATTTCTAACAGCATGGTAAGAAATTTTTTATTGTTTAGTTAATGCATTATTCATTGAAACATTAAATTGCCAATAGCTTTATTATTTGTTTTGATATGCTTAAAAAAGGGGGATATTTCCGTATCGTGATCTGTAGCGCCAACTACAATTGCCAAGGTGACAAATAGATTTTAAACTTGCAAATTTTTTAAAGAAAACACATAGAAGTTTGCCCGGGGGTGGCTACGAGTTATACCTTTCGAGTTGGTCCTTTTCTGTGATGTTTTTTTTAGTTTCTCGCGGGCCACTGCCCGCAAGTTTCCAAGACTTGGCGATTATTCTGCCACAGATCATGATACGGAAATCTCCCCTAAAAAGTTTAAAGGACCCTTTTAATTTCTAATCATTCTTGATAGCATTAATATTATAACTGACATTGACTTCTTTTAAATGCTCTTGAATAAAGTGTAGCAGCAATTTCTTTTTAAATATAAATTTACTATTTGTAAGCATTTTTCAAAACTTAGAATTAGTTTTTTAAAAACTATGTAATGTGCATTAAGTTTGTTAGAATGAGACAGGTATAGTTTGTATATTTGTGGGGATATTTCCGTATCGCGATCTGTCGCGCCAACTACAATCGCCAAGGTGCCAAATAGATTTTAAACTTGCAAATTTTTTCAAAACAGCATGTCGGTGTTTGCCCCAGGGATGAGATTAGCCAAAACGCAAAAAAGCTGAATTTCCACGATAGTAAATTTTACGCAAGCGCAACCCTTTAATAATAAATTCCAGACAGTTTAAGGTCATAAATAATGTGTTGACATACAATTGTGTACTAATCTATTATTATAAAAACGATTACATTGATACTTAACATTTAGTGGAAAAAATTTACCAATTGAAAAAATAAAGCTGGAAATTATATTTTCCCTCAGTTCGCATAAGAGACAATTACTACTTGAAAAACTACCTGGTTTAGCAAATTAAAACTACTGAGAATATACATTAATATTTCATTTCTTTTAATAAATACTGTTATGTGATTTATAGCAAATATATCAGTAATATTACTTTTTAAATNTCCAGGCTTGGGACCTCTAAAAGGCTTGTCAGAAGCAGCATTGTTTGAACTACGAAAATCGGATCTATCTGGAGGTCGGGCAAAAAATTCGGAAAATCTTATCTGCTGAGCGTAAAAGGGGAGAAAATAGGTAAAATAAGTAAAAATGAGAAAGGATTGGTAGCTATGTAGTTTGAATTTTCTGTTTCTCTTTGAAAATCGGTGAATTTCCTGAAAAAACGGAATATACTTATAAAAAAAAGACATTTTCAGAAAATCTGAATTTTTGACAAAAAAGCTGAAATTTAAGAGATAAAAGTGAAAAAAGCGGAAATCCGCTAAAAAGCGGAAAAATCTCATCCCTGTTGCCCGGAAGTGGCTACGAGTTATACTTTTCGAGCTGGTCCCTTTCTGTGATGTTTTTTTTTTAGTTTCTTGCGGGCCACTGCCCGTAAGTTTCCAAAACTTGGCGATTATTCTGCCACAGATCACGATACGGAAATCTCCCCGTTGTATAACCCTAAATTAATTTTCTGATCTAATAACATATAATTTATGTGATAATTTTATAATTTCAAACTGCAATTTTGAATTGAGATTAATTCTACATAAACGCATAAACTTAGATGCAAACTTAGTAGGAGAAACATAAAATATCATAAATAATATCAACAGCTTTGAAAAGAAACGAATTGCGTTTTCATTTATCGAAAATAAAACAACACTTAAAATCAAACATTACATACCTGTTGAATGTGCAGCCCCTGAATTATTAGTTTGGTTTTGAAATGCAATATTTTGACGATTTGATTGCAAGAGCGATAAATTCTGATTAGGGAAAAAAGTATTCGGAAAGTTTCGATTGAAGTCAGTTGTACCGTCTGCATTACTATTTGGCAAACGACATGCAGTTTGTGAAATAATATAGGGTAATGTTATTGTCATACATTGCCAATTGTAGCACTGCCACAGCCATTGATTAACAGCTGTAGCATATTCTGAACTTGATTTATAAGGATATGTTGGAATAAACACGTTTAAATCTTCGGGATTATTAGACTGGGAACTACTAGAATCGACGTTTCTTCTACGAGGTTCATTCGTTTCAGAATTTGCCATGACGGTATTGCTAATCCCCCTGCAGTGATGATCAATAAAATTCTTTAAATTTCAGTTAGGGGTGGTGGTAGTTAAAAAATTTTTAAATGAAAATCATCAATCTTCTAATGTAGTTGTACTAATTGTTTATTTACATGACCCTAGAAATTGTTTAAGTGAAAGTTAAAGTTAGTGATTAATTCCAATGTCAATAATTTTTTAAAGTACAACTGATATTTTGTATCTGTTACTTTTCATGATTGATTGAACTTCAGCTTTGGTTGATTAAACAATCTATCAATATTTTTTTAAATTTTTCGAACATTTTTTCGAACAGCGTTTTCGAGACGAAGAAATAACCATAGAAATAACCAACGAGAACCAAACGAAGAAATAAAACAGCTAAAAAATGTATATATCATAGATGTAAAGGCAGGGACTATATTAGTCCTTGGTATATATATATATAATAAATTTTAATATTTTATTGAATGTAACAAAATATTTAAAGAAATTCAAATGAATGTTCTTGCCTGTTTTTTTCATTTATTATTATTATTTCTTCATTCGAAAGACACATTATATTTTTAAAAGAACTATAATGTCAATTTTTATTAAAATTAATGAATTTTTTAATCTTACATATTTACTTTCTACTGATGTTTAATTGGAAAAAAGAAAAGTCAATAAATTAACAGTTCATAAAAAACGCACGTTCTAAAATTATTATATAAACTTTTATTTTTTAAGATTTTATTTGCTTCTATTTCTTACAAAATAGTTGGGAACCTTTATTTAGAACAATACTACCATTTTGAAGTACATTTTTTCCCACAGATTTAATTATATAGTAACTTTTTGTCATTTACTGATGCTTTTATATTATAATAATTATCAACATAATTAGGTATAAATTGTTGTACAACATTTTTGAAAGATGGGGAAAATTGATAATATTTTTTAGAGAGTAAATTATGTTTCTACAGATAAGTAATTAATTGACTAATTGGAAGTTTCAATTTTTAATGAAATTGACTTCATATCAGAATCAATAGCCTATTACATGCTATTGGCTGCTCAAATAATTTAATTGTGCTAGAGTTATGCTAATGGAATATTGGCAAAGGTCTGATTTTCATATTTGGTGATAACTCTCGCATATGCTCTCACCACATTTATTAAATTAAATTTAAAAAAATATAGTGGTGTAACTTGCCTCTGTACCATGCTTCTCAACCATGTACTTTTAAACTTTATTGATCTATGTACTTTTTTACCCCAACAAAAAAAGTTTGCATTTTTTATTTTAATTAAAATATCAAATTTGAATTGAAATATTTTTTCTACCAATTATAGATGGCTGAATCTTCGCTAAGTTGCAATAGAAGCGTCTTGGATTTTTTAATGTTGGTTGGAAAACTAAAGGTAAAATTTATAAATTGTTTTATTATTTTTATCTCTTTAAATTTCAAAAACTTGAATAAAAATGTCTTTTAATTTAAAAATTTTTTAGATGCTTACTATTTTCTCCATTCACTTTTAATGCTTATTATACTTTTTTTTTTTTTGGAAAATGCATCAAATTAAAATTATATCTAGTAAGTAGTCAAATTTTATAGTCAATTATGTATTTAAATGCTATCAAAATACAATTATCAATTTATAATAATTTGAATAAAATTTTGATTTTTAAGAAATTATAGGCTTATTAATATTTAGTTCTCAAATGTACATTATTTTCCTCTAATGTTATTGATGATATATCTAATTAAATTTGAAATCTTGACTACAACATGACTGTATATACACTATTAAATTAATTTTTATCTATATATATATATATACAAAAAAGTGAACATTTCTCATGATCGTTCATCAGTATAATCTAAAATAACATAGCTTTATTTAATTAATCATTTTCTTACAGAATTATAATTGAATCATAATATAAAATATCTCAAAGTTTACGCATATGCAATAAAAGGCTGTCCTTAAATGGGATCACATTTTCTTCTCACTATTGTTGCCATTTATCTTTTCTTTTCTCAAAAAGTATCACATTTTATCATACCACACATCGTGCTGCGTTTTATAAACAAATGTTTGCAATTCTGAATGAGGATAAAACATTGTTTTAGATAATAGATTAAATTTTTTCTGAAGAGAACAGCATTCTTACCTTTTTAAAATAAAAAAAATATATACATATTTGATTTGCTGATTTTAAATGTTTCAATCATAATGCTAAATTGATCAATTGTACCTTGTGATATTTCATTTTCTGAATGCTCTTACTTGTTTTTTATGACGTTTTCTGCATGTACCAGAAACTATGAATAAAAATAAATCAAAATTATCTGCATTAAATCTTGCTTTCAGTTTGATCCATAAGAAACTTTTTTTAAGCTGAACTTTTTAGATTACTATCAATATTTGTTATTTTTTCTTTAATAAAGTCTAGGAAAAGAAATTAATAAATATTTAGTTTTATAGAATCACTGAATCTAAAAACAGGCCATTTAAAATCCAATGTAGATTACCTGTTTTCGAACTCTTCAATTTAATTCATACGAACACAAATCTGCTATTTTACACAATAAGCAAATTAGTGCTTAGTGAGTGGTTTTAGAATTTTTTTTCCTAATCTACGAAACAAAGATTTATATTTCTTACAATTATATGTATTCATTTAGTTCAGAAAAAGTGCTGCCCTCATTTTTTTTTTTTTTTATTATTATTATTATTAACCTTTACGGACTGAATTATTTTAACTTAATTCCCTTTATCACAATTTTTCCATCAGTGTTGATTTTTTTTTTTTTTTCATTATGGTGTAGCATTTTTTTCTAAAAATAAAATACAATATTAAAAATTGAGATTTTTGATACTCAAGTTCAAGTATCCAGAATTCGTCAATTCTCACGTAATCCAAATAGTTGAACTTTTACTGTATAAGCTGTTTTCTTTCATTACTCACAGCTATTAATTAGGAATTGTTGTTATCTAAAAACTGTAGGAGACAGAAAATTAATTAAATGCATTCCTTGCCTTTAGCACATTAAAAGAACTGGATGGGTACGTTCTAACGTTCCAGATTGTGAGACGATTGCTGGACATATGTATAGGATGAGCGTGATGGCATTTCTTTTAGGTGATCAGATTTCTTCAAATCTTGACAGAAATAAGTAAGAGCTCACTATGACTATTGTCAGTTACCTTTTTTTTATTATAAATTAATCTGCTTCCATTTTTTTGATTTACTGAACATAGTATAATCAATATATTTTGGCAGCTAATCATCGAAACCAAACGGGGCTGTAGATTCCTATAAAACCCATGGCAGAAGTTTTTTAAACTTTCAGCAACAATTTTCCCGAACACTAATATCTTTCTGACAGGCATTTTTAATAATAACAAATATATATATATATTATTAATTTAAAGTAACAGAAGGGCTTTGTGTTAACAAAAAAATAATAACTTTCATGCATGAATAAAACTGTATATAATTTTTTTATTTGTAAATGTAAGAATTTTTTTCTAATCTGCATATAAAAGAATGTGTATTCTAATATTATGAGCGATATTCTCCTTTTTTGACAGGGAAAAAATAACACTAATTATTTCCATTTTCTCATATTGTAAATCATCATCGCTTTAAAAAAATAATTTAAAACTGAAAGAAGTTTGTTGCAGTAACTACTAAAAAAATATCAACAACAAACTCTTGCAAATCAGACTTTCTTAAAAAGGGTCATTCAAATGCATGGTTTCATTTAGAGATTCACTTATTGTAATAAATAATATCATATTAAAAATATATTATATTTAAAACTTGGTGGAATTGCAATAACTGCCAAAAAATCGAACAAAGAAATGATAAGATCCTTGTGTCAAAAAGTAAATAATCTAATGTATGCTTTGAAATTCTCATGTTATACAAAATATTTTGAGTATAAATATAAAATATGTCTAAAATATATCGGGATCTTTAAAAATCATATATAAATGAGTATCAATAACTGTCAAAAAACAATAAAAACACCACATCTATTTATGATGTTGGCGTGAATTGAGTGTGTCAAAAAGTGATTAAGAATTTGATATGAATGTCACGTGTTGAAATAATATCAAATGAGAGAAACTAATGTGGAAATTGATAGCAATAATTGTCGAAAAACGGTTGAATCACTGCATTAGAGACAAATTAATCAAATGTTCATGTCGTAATAACATTGGTGTTTAAAAATATCATAAATAATAGTAAAAAATAATAATAACTAAGCAATGAAAGATATCAGGATTTTAAAACTCCAAATGAAAATTCGTAGCAATGATTGTAATGATCAAAAAGCTACCTTTATTTACAATGAAATCAGTGTGAAGCTCTGAGTGATAAAGTGTAGACTCAAATGCGTGATTTAAAGTTTTTGTGTGCTAGTGTCACATATTAAAATTATGTATTTAATATGCTAATTATAGTAAACACCATTTTAAGTGTGAGCAAAATAACAATTATATATATTTATCCAAATATGAAATATATATGTTTGGTGACTGGATCATAATTGTTTTATAATGCTGTTATGTTTTTTTTTTTTTTTTTTTTAAATTTCAATTTCTATGCTNTTTTTTTTTTTTTAAATATTTAATAAGATAGCATAATCCTTTTTAGATGTATAAAAATGTGTCTTGTTCATGATATGGCAGAATGTATTGTTGGTGATATCACACCTTTCTGTGGTGTTAGTGCTGAAGAGAAACACTCACGAGAAGTGGTATGGTTCTTGTGTTATTCTTATGTAAAAATTGTGTCATTTGATTCAGACTAAAAGCATTCTTGTTCAAAAAATTTTAATCAATATCTTCAAAAACTTATTAGCAACTTTTCATGTTGATAAAACTAATCACCATAAATTTATGTGCAATGCATAAAGTTAGGCTATTTCTTTCCTTCGGAAAATAAGGTACAAACTTACTCAATTGCATTCAAAATATATGAAGTATATGTTCATCATTGATCTCTATTTTATTTTAATACAAACATTTATTTTGCATGTTTTTAAATTAAACATAAATCGCTGTTCTGAAAGAAAAAAAACGTTTTTTTTTTTTCCTGTAAAAACTATTGCAAATTCTTAACTATTCTCACGCATATCTTTGCTTGAAACTGAGTTGCCATAAAATTTAGCATGTGACAAAAAATGGTACAAACTCATTTAATTCTGTTGAAAATATATGATGTATATGTTTATTATTGGTCTTTGTTTTATTTTAATTCAAAAATTTATTTTACTTTTTTTTTAAGTTAAACAAAAATCCCTGTTCTTAAACAATCTTGTTTTTGTTTTTAAAAATTATTGCAAATATTTAACCATTCTCTCTAATTTCTTAACTTGAAACTGAGCTGGCAATGAAATTTAGCACGTGACATGAGACATATTTACGTCTCAGAACCAGAAGAAGTTAGAACTATTTATTTTGCACTAAAATCAAAAGAACTAGGCTATATATAGAACACATAATCTCTAATCATGTCAATAATGGAAGCTGTTATCAACAATCACAGTTTGTGTTTTCGATTCACAAAAATCAAGGTGGTTCGGTGTTGCCATTCCAAATTTTGATTCATAACTCACAAAATGATAATAGTTTGTTCTAGTGTTCACTGTAGAACTCATGAAACATTATTGGCAGTGTTGCATTTGTGTTCTAAGTTGCCAATGTCACTATTTTTTAAGTTCTGGCATGATAACATACTTAGGCCATACAATAGTTGTATGTAAATTACTATCTGGTTAATACTCACAGTTTCAATATCATGACACAAATCTATTTCATGGATTCACCTGAAGACAGCATGATTTGACCAAGTCAGTTTTACAGTACTGTGTTTTATCAGGCAGTCTTTTATTCAGATAGTTATTGGTCATTCTTTCTACGTATCCTACTACTAAGACCAGCAATGGAAGGAGATTGTGATTTACCCTACAAACACCTCAAGAGTTAAAACAACAATTATTCTGTATGCAGGGTTGCCACAGGCGACTAAAATGCAACTATTTGCAACTTTTTTGGCATGAGGCGACTATGACAACTTTTCTTGGCTGAAAAAGCGACTATTTTCAGGAAAAGGAGACTTTTCTGAACTCCTAGCAATGTTTTTTTTTTGTAAGCATAAATTGGGTGCAAAATTTGCACCCCACAAGATAGTTTCCGAATACACTGAACTCTTTTTTTTTTTTTTTTTNGTGAGGATGTGGACACCACAACAGAAAGCTCAATGCGTCTCATGGTTCATAGAGACGAAATCAGATACACAGGTTCAACGGAACTTCAGGACAAATTTCCAAAGAGACCCACCATCCAGACCCTCCATCCGTGCATGGCACACAAGCTTCATGAGCACCGGAGCAGTATTGCATAAAAGTGGAGCCGGATGACCCAGCACAAGTCCAGAAAATGTGGAGCGAATACGGCCATGAGACGCATTGAGCTTTCTGTTGTGGTGTCCACATCCTCACTTAAAACTTTTCAGCCTATTGAAAAAAAAACTTTATTTGTTGCAGTAATACATGCAAGAGACAGAATATAAATATCTTGTTTATGTTCGAAGTTATGAATTTTTAAAGTTGTAAAGATAATTTTGAAACACCCTGTATATTAATTCATCAACAAAATTTTAGTGATATTTTTGATGAATTTTTGTTCTTATTTAAGCAATTATTTTCCTAGTTTTTGGCTACTATTTTCATNTATATACAAACACACATATATATATATTAATTCATTAACAAAATTTGAGTCATATTTGTGATGAATTTTTGTTCTTATTTAGGCAATTATTTTCCTAGTTTTTGGCTACTATTTTCATGCTTTAGGCTACTAAAAGCAACTATTTTGTTCGTTTTTTTCTGTGGCAACCCTGTGTATGCAAGCAAAACTTAATTTAGCAATTTAGGCCAGTGGATAGACAAATTTAATGCAGTCAATTCTTGGATTGTTGCAACCAATGTCTAAATTTATTTCATTATCAGGTATCTTTAACTTAATTTTTATTAACTCTTCGTTTTAATTCTATGTTTAATGGTATTCTAATTGATTTTAGGCTGCTATGAAGAGATTGTCATCTCTTGTTGGTAAAGAAGTAGGAGCTGAATTCTTGAGCTTGTTTATGGTATGTTTTATATATACATATTAAAACTATTGTATCTAAGAATTTACAAAAACAATTTATTTTAGTCACAAAAGATCTCATAATCTATTACGGTAAACTTAAAAATTCATTTAAATTCATTTCCTAAAAAGTAGTTTTTTAATATTAAGTTTATAGTCTACTTTAAGCAACATAACTTAAATTGTAAAGCAACTTTATAATGTTATAATCTGTTGTTAATTGCATTTTTAAATATTTATTATTGTTATTCATGTTTACTTTTAAATTTTAATAAATTTTTATGCATAACTAATAAAATGCTTAAAATAAAAGTTTTCATAAAAATTAAATTTATTTTATGTATTTATTCAATTTATTTGATTTCAATGTACTGTAAGCATATCATTATTTTAAAACTTATTCAAGCAGTTTTCTTTAATATTTTAGGTACTGTGTTATGTATGTTCTACTTTTGCAGGTTTATTACACTTTTTTTGCTTTTAATTTCTAAATATTTTCTCTTTCTTAAAGTTCTCTATTTCATTCTCATTTTCTATTTCTTATTTCTTTATTGAAAGCAATAAATGATATGATTTGGTCATAATTTATGTCTATCGATTCTAATTGTTAATAAGTATTAAGCATTCAAAACTCTGACGTATTACTGATGCATTTTTTAGCTGTAAATTGTCATTACTATACACAGCACCTATTAAGGTTAATAAGCTTAGTTTCTTAATAGTATATATTTTGAATTTTAGTTTTTGAAATATATTGCTCCCAAAAGTATAATATTGCTTCTGAAATCACAATGCATTTTATGTAATAAAATTAATCTGTTATATTAAGGAAGTTTCTTATTATAATAAGTATACAGGGTGTGTTGAAAAGTACTTAAAGATGCTTATTTTTGATTTACGTTATTTAAAAGCCCTTCAAAGTGCTTTTTTTATTTGGGGTTTGTAAAAAGAGCTTAACTTTCTATCTTTTGGAGAAAAAAAAAATTTTTCTTTGCCGTGTCAATTGTCGTTCTAAATTACAAAAAATGCATGCTTTTCAAAATTTTCTCTGCAATATTTATCAGAAACTAGTTGTTTTATTATGATTATGAAAAGTTTTTGAAAATGTTTTTTAATTTTATTGATTTTATGTTTAGAAATTAAGAATTTTAAACGATAGAAAAAATAATTTTTATTGCTGCACAGATCCTAATTATGATTTTTTTTTTGTAAAGTGATTAAAAATCCTTTTTGAGTGCTTAAAAGGTGCTTATTTTTTGTTTAAGAATCTGGCTGCGCACCCTGGTATGTTCTGAAATTTATTTTTATACTATCTTGCCCATAGTTTTATGCACTATATATAAAATTATCAAGGCTTCTAATGTAACTAAGTTGATAAAGGATTGGTTTCTTTCTAAATATGACAAGGTTGATGCTTCTAAATTTCTTGATGATTTAAACACTCTAAATGTTTTATTCGGTATAACTATTAAAATCTTGAATTATTGTAAATTTGTAACATTTTGTCAGCACCGTGTAAATCTTTAAGAGATGTAAGTTGGGGGAAATCTACTCATGCTAATTTTCTTAACACTTTGTTAAATAAATTATTTTGATTTCAGGAATATGAAGAAAAGGAAACTGCAGAATCTAAATTTGTACATGATTTAGATAAGTTTGATATGATTCTTCAAGCGTATGAATATGAAAAAGAGTCAAACAATTCTCTAGACCTGCAACAGTTTTTCAATAGCACAGAAGGTAATAAAATATTATTTTTAAAAACACGGTTTTAACTTTATTTCCTGAATTTATCTCCTGATTTTCTAAAACCAAAAATGTGAAATAAATTCTAGAGTTTTGTATTATTTTCCTCTGAAGTGTAACGGGAATGCTTCTGTTATGTTTTATAATCACAGAACAATGGCAATGGATCTACTTAAATAAATATACACATCCCTATAATAAGCGCCAATTTCAGATTTCAATAATATGATTTAACAAAACAAAAATTGGCAAAGTGTTTATGTTTTTAACTCTCTCTCAACCTCTTCCAGTTTATAACTTTGAGAACTCTTACATTTTTGTCTGGGCAGTCGCGCTAACGAATCTTCGGTCTTCCCGTTTTTCGGGCTCCTGATGGTTTTGCATTGAAGATCTTTTTGGTGGCCTGATCATCATTCTTTCTAATCAGGTGTCCTGTCCATTTTAGTCTGTGAACTGATATAAATTTTATTATGTCTGCTCTTTGTAGATCCTATAAAGTTTTGAATTTGTTCTCTCTTTCCAAATATCATTGCACTTTATAGCTCTCTAAATGCTTCACAGTATTTTTCTTTCGAAAACCACTAAAATTTCCTCAGTCATTGTCCTTAGTTTCAACAGTGTATGTAACTATGGGCCTGATCAAAACTTTGAAGAGCAGTAATTTTGTTTTCCTGCTGATGAGACTATTTTATTTATTTATATATTTTATTTAAATCTAGTGGTGTAGCTAGCAGAGAGTGAGAGGGAATATCTACCCTGTGGTGCAGCCTCATAAGGGCACCAACTTTATGATACATGAATTTTTGGATAAAATGCTTTTCTCTTTTAAATAGCCCCAATTTAATTTGCTAATTGGGAGACCCTTAACTTCCAATTTTTATTCAATTTACCTAATAAATTGACAGGATGTTTATTATTATTGTAAGTTTTCTTTTCACACAGTTTTATTTATTGTTTTAATTAATACAAATTGACAATATATTGGTTGAAACAATGCCTTTAAAATAAGCACTTATCATTCAATCAAAACCAATAAGCCTAATTAAAAATATTTAAGTGTAATAGAAACTACAATTGTATCATACACTGTTACATTTTCAACCAAATCAAATGAAAATGTAGAAGTTATCGAGTCACGTTGTTTTAACATTATGGGCGCCGAGAATGAGTTTGCCCCTAGGCGCCGTTAATCGTGCTTAAATTCATTACTTTTTAAATATTACAAAAATCTTGTTCCTAAAAAAATACATTTTATTTAGTAACATAAAAATGTGGATTCAATGGTTATTGACTGAATGTAATAAAGAGTTTCAGGGGATTAGCTATTAAAATTTTCTTGTATAGTGAACTCTAAAACCATCAATCAGTGCTAAACAAAATCTCTTCTTTAGGCAGTTTTCTCTTTCACTCTTTGTAAGAGCGCTTTTTCCCCTTTATTTGTTTTTATATAACTTAAAGATTAGGACTCCATTGTACTAGGGTAATTAAATAGAACTTAAAGTAAAGATTCAAAGTAAAAATAATTGCAGCTTTACTTTTTACTAAGTTATATGTTTATTTACAATTAACACAATGAGCGATACATTTTCTGGATTTGTAGCAATAAATATTTTAATTTAGATGAAATCCTTAAATGATGTTTACTTGTGTTTCCTATTTACAGCAGAACTTCAGTTGCATATTAAAATTCTGCCGTAATGAACACTATTTCTGTTTTATCTAAAATAGAAAAAGTTTGAAATTGTTTAGCACCCTTTCAGCTTCTTAGCAACTCTCAATGTCACCTGTGTCTCCATTTTCTTTTAAATCTTAAATATTAATTTTACCATCCCCGTCTTCATTATATTCATATTGTTCAATTAAGATATTCACTGAAATATGTCAATATTCCGCATAAATTTGTGAACACTCATTTAAAAATAAATAAGGGTAATTGCGCAAAACAAATTTGTCTAAAACAAATTTTCATAACTCTTGATTTCTTCTTTTACCTTTTTTTTTTTTTTTTTTGAGCTATTTAAATTCTTGCTTATGCAAATTAAATTCCTGTTATTAACCATAGGGTTTTCTAAGACTTTTACAATTTTCTGTTTTAGACTAAGTTCCACTTTATATAATGTCTGTTTCAGATAGAGTTTATGATAGAGTTCAGATAGAGCAAGTAAATATGCGTGTAAATACTTAAAGAGCTAAAAACGTTTTCATCGAGTCACTTATCTATAGACAGCAAGTAGATCTGAAACTAGTTTAATTGTAATAAGAAAAGTTAAGGCTATTTTTTTATGAGTATGAATATTCAAATAATTGAATATAGGCCATATACGGTGGTTATATCTTATATAATTAATTGTGGTTATAGCCTAAATACGTGTAGCTACTCTGGTGTAAGAAATTAAGAGAATTTGCAAACTTGGTCAATTTTCTCTGGAACTATTGGACCAATTTTAATGTGATTTTATGTGTACATACATTGATACAATACGAAACAAATAACCATTCAACAATTGTAATGCACGCACGTGATCGTGCGCAACACTCATTGGAGTCGTAAGGTATGAAACAGCGGTTGCAGAATAAACTTTTACAAAATGGGTTAATAGGGGGTATGGTCCCCTCTTACAGATATACAGTAGGTACTTGCAGCGTTATTTCAAATTGAGCCGCGTTATTTCATATTGAGCCACGTTATTTCATAAAGTGGCTCCGGTTCAAATCCCAACAATGGCTGGTCGATACAAATTCTGCTCTCGTGGACCACAGTGCTGACATAAAATATCCTCATTTTACAGATCATAGATTAAAATCCTCTTGATGTCGAACTAAACGTTTTTGGTTCTCCTCTCCATGTAACACAAAGGTGGATTGGTTCCATCAACGAGTCCTTCACAAAGAATAATTTGCACCAATGCTTGTTTCAGGAGTTCCCTTGTCTTCTGGATTAAGTCAAAATTAAATGCTACCAAGTTGAACTGTGGTAGTTTTGAACTCAGAATTGGGTCAGCTGTTCACCCATTTAAAACGTGGATTTTGCAACAACAACAAAAAAAGTTTTTTCTTAGAAAATGGTTTCTAAAATTATTCAATCAAGTATGTAATGCTGAGACTTTATTTTTATCAAATATTTTTAATTAACCATTTTTTTTCTTCAAATTTAATTCAGGATTTTCCCAATAGTTCTTTTTTTTTTGTGGGAACAATGAAGCAAACTTTATGTCATTTGGATAATGCATGGTTTTTGTTTTATTCCAGGAATATTTCAAAATCCTATGGTATTAGAATGGGTGTCAGATCTGAAAAAACAAAGAGGAAAGCCTTCATCCGAAGATTCTCTTTAAATAAGATTTTGAACAAAAGAATTATTGTTAGTTGTGATATTTTTTATAATTAAATCTTAAAAAGTTTATTTATATATTTTGTGTGGTCTTTTGTTAATAAAGAAGAATTTAAAATATTATTTAATATTTTGTTCTCCTTTATGTCTTTGCAATTTAGTTCACATAATGAGAGATTTTTGTCAATATCACTCTTATTAAAAATGTATTTCGTAACAGAAGAACTTTTTTCTTAGAAAATGGTTTAATGTGTTTAGTCAAGTGTGTAATTCTATGAATTTATTATATCATTTTTTTCAATTAATACTTTTGTTCCTTTTTTTAATATAGTATTTTTACATCAGTTTTTGTTTTTGTGGAGACAATTGAAAAAGCTTTGTCGCTTGAATGTTTAATGGTTTTTATTTTTACTTTCACAAATTTTATTCCAGGAATATTTAAAATATTGGAATGAGTATCAAATCTGAAAAAACTAAGTGGAAAGCCTTCATCTGTGAACTGTTTTCATATGAACTTTTGAATTATTTACATGTAATGCTGTGAGAAATAATTTTTAATCAAAGTTACAAAAAAAAAGAATCATACATTAAAACATATACTTGGCTACCATTAGAAAAAATTCTCCCAAAAACCGTGGGAAGTTGGCAGCTGTGTATATAAATAAATATCGATAATCATCCTGTTATTAACCGTCAAGAAAATAGATAAATCTGCTAAACTTAATTGCTCTTGAACTACAACTTAAAATTTTGTGAGAAGTTTGAACATAAGGGTTGATCGTTAATGGTTTTCTTCATTATTATTAATACAAAGTAAAAATACATCTTTATAAGTTTAAATACCATTTTATTATGTGAATTTTACATAGTATTTAAATATATTACCACTTGCCACATGGTCATGCCTGCTTGGTGAAACCGAGCAAATTTAAGGTAGAGTGTGCGTTTCTTGTTTTTCAGTTCCACATGGGCAAGCCTGCTTGGTGAAACCGAGCAAATTTAAGGCAGAGTGTGCGTTTCTTGTTTTTCTGTTCCACATGGGCAAGCCTGCTTGGTGAAACCGAGCAAATTTAAGGCAGAGTGTGCGTTTCTTGTTATTCAGTGGCGCCATCTATGGCCAAGAATTCGACTTCTGCCACACCATACGTCGCACCCGTTTATAGGGCGGACCCATTCATACATCTATTTATTCATCCACAGATCGTAATTTTGGCCTGAGTCAGAGAACGATCAATCTCCAATCCAGTACCCCCAGAGGTACTGATTTGTTATGGGAACATGGGGGACTTTTGTGACTCGACAATTTAACGTGCATCAGTCACTTTACTACACGGGGAGTCTTCGGCCGGTGGGGTTGGAACTCTCGGACATGGGCCCAGCACCCTACCAACCAGGCTATCCCGGCCCAAATAGAATATTGACCACCTTAATATATAAATAATTAAAAGATAAGTACAAAATGTCGAAAAAGCAAGCAGTATTCCGATATTTATTATTTATAACTAAGCAAATATTTTCATCTGTTGTCTACCATTTTATTTTTTAAAAATAATAACTTCCTAGCTGAACATTTGTACCTATATATCAACAGTATGTTACTTAGATACTGGTGTCCATTTTGTATATATTTTTTTCTGACTTTCTAATTACAAGCAAACGTATAGTTTGGTATTTTTTAATTATAAAGCAACAGTCTTAACCCAAAAATTTACTTAAGTCAAAAGTTAACCTGTTAGATTATTGGAATTATATTTGTACTAAAATATAAAATCCAAAGAAGGTAATTTAAGAAGAAAAAATTTCATTCACATTCAAAAATTTATCAATAATTGATTTGGTAAATTAAAAAAATTTCAATGCTGAATAACTGTTTCTCTTAAATCTAAAGAAATGCAAATTTGATAAATTACTATTTGGAAATGAGCCATGTTTAGAAGATTTTATTTTTTACTCAGAAAAAGACACTGGTGTTTCGTGCTGTATTTCACAACCATAAATTATTTAAGTGCCAAATACAATATTTTCCCCTTATTTTGACTTAAACTACTACAAAATTATGAAAAATATGTTCAATAAAAATTCTGCAGCAAAGGGTTAAGGGGGGAGAAAATTTTTATCTACGATTTGATTTTAGATAACTATAAAAACAGTTTCATTTTAAAATTTTGCCAAAACTTAAAAATGCTACAATAATTATATATTTTTATTTATGCCTTTGAGTTTTGAATATCATGGTGGTTAAAAATTATTATTTTAAATCAAATTTAAGAAACCAACTATTCTAATAGTAAGAAAGAAATTTTATTATAAGGGAAGGTTACGTAATCTGCTCACGGAACCTCTGTTTTACGTAGAGCGAAGCATCTTGAATCGTATGCCAAGCCTTTGAAGAGATAGTTTATATCCATTGTAGATTATTGTTGTGATTTTGTGGTCAAAATTTAAATGATATTCCACTACATTAACGTTTTTAGCTTACGGATTTTTGCAAAACCTCTTATTTCACGCTTACTTATGTTTGATATTTTTTTAAGGGTGCATGCGAATTGCTTGAAATCTTGCGTACGAAAGACATCATAAATTTGTGAAATCTCCCTAATTACCTACAAATTTACTAAATTCTGATAGCTCCCTCCAGAGGCTAGAAATAAAATATAATAAAAAAATTTGAAAACTGTGTTTATTATGAAAATACTTCTATTTTAACCACATCAATAAAAAAAAATACGTAGGTTGCATATCTTTCTAATTTTTGATTGGCGATAGATATTATTTTAAGATAATTTCTGTTTTTATAGCAATCAGGAAACACGTTCTTCAGATCCGTAATTTTATGCGTTCTAGGTAGCCGAATGCACTCAAAATTTTTATTTCCAATGATAAATTCCCTTTGGCAACAACTTGTGCTTGTAGCTGCCAGAAAGTAATTAGTGCAGAGGACTCGTACTCTAGAGAGGAGTGGTACTTGAAATGTTTAACCGTAACATATACACCAAAAACAAATTGAGTACTAAATTCGATGTTGCTTCAAGTCTTTGAATTCAACTGCCGGACAGAAATATTAATTTTCAGTCTATTTTTGATAGGACGAGCAGAAACTTCATTCTTAACAGTAATTACTTTCAAAAAATTTGTTAGTGTGTTCACGTAATTGCTACTGAATTATATTTAGAAAGTCAAGGTTCCGCCAAAAGTAGGTCGATCATTTCGGTTCCGGAACCGAAAAAAAAATTGGAAGCCACTGCTTTAGTTGAAATATTCTTTTCTAGTCAGTGGAATGCACTCAAAATTTTGTTGGACCATTAATTCCCTTTGGCGATAATATCGCGATAAGTTCCACTTGTAGCGGACGAAAAACGATCAAAACTTGTATTGTCACCCAGAAAAATATTCTGATTAGAATGTGTTTTCTCCAGGTAATCTGAAAGAGCTATATTTTATATTGGAATCAAATCCCCTGTGCTGAGATAAGTAATAAATTCTACTAGTAGTTAACTAGAAATTATTAGAAACTTGTGTTGTCATCCAGAAAAAAGCACTCTAGTTACTTGGAAAGTGGTCAGAGCTTTGATTATCGGTAGAAGTGTTTCATTAATATTATTTATTCTACAGTAACAAGGTGGTTTTTACAAGTACATTACATTTGCAATAATACATTAGTAGAAACTCTAACTACTCAATACCTCCTAAAGGAGAGAAGGCTTCAACAGGGGTTACCGTAAACAAGAAATTTGACCCTTTAATAGTCCAAACGTAAAGACATCTTTTGTATTAACCCCACTGCCTATCTTAGTAGCCTCAACGTTGCGACATCTTATTATTTCCTCCACTGCGCAGTTTATGTTCGTTACGTCGGACTACTGAATTGATCCGTGCTGAGGCCTTCTTTCTTTCAATAGCTGTTGAATTACTACGGATTCTCTATAGTTTCAGAAAATATTTCTCTTAATGGTAGCAATGGTAATTGGTAATATATTTATATTTTACTAACTGAGAGTTAAAAGTTTTTGTTCAACTAAACACACGTAATTTAAACAGATACATATAAGGTCATATAGTCGAGTGCTTAAGTCCTAATATATATAATATATTTTTTAAATACTTGTTTGTTTCAACGAAAAAAATTCTGCTTTATATCGCTACTACAAAAAATAATAATGATTCGCAACAGCCTCAAACATTTGGAGGCTCTACATTCATCATCATCATCATATCTGGCTAGACAGCCCAGGGTGGGCCAGTGCCTTCCTTTGAATTCGAATCCACTTCTCTCTACTTTTGACACTTGTTCGCCAGTTTTTCTCCTTTAGAGTAAGGAAATCAGTCTCAACTAAATCCAGCCATCTCAGCCTGGGTCTACCTCTTTTCCTGTTCGTTAGGGGTTTGTGTAATAGGATTTTCTTTAAATTTGAGGCTCTACATTAGTAATATAAATATTATTTACATCTGAACCTATAGCATAGTGCTTTTTTTATGGCTAAAGTGATTAGTAATTTTTTTTTAAAATATCTAATTGATATAAACAAATATAATTAGGTCATATTGACCTTAATGAGGGCGATATATAATTTAGGTTTCATATATAAATCTAAAGTTAATCTTAAGCTCATAAAAAGCTTATCTTACAATATTTCTTCCAGAGCCGCAATGGTTTGGGGGATAGAGCGTTAACCTACAAAGTTCACAGCGGTGGCCCAGGTTAGAATCACAGCTGTGGGTGATTGATATGAGCTCTGCTCCCGGTTCGCACCGACCTCAGTGCTGACATAAAATATCTCCAGTGGTAGATGAATCCCCTCACTATCGGACTAACCCAGGAAGGTTTTCGTGATTTTCCTCTCAATGTAAAGCAAATGCGGGTTAGTTCCATCAAAGAGTCTTCCACCAAGGCTAGTTTTTACAATGCTTGATTCAGGAGTTACTTTTTTATTTTATAACCGTCGTTGAACAGCCGACCCAATTTTTGGGTTTACGACTACTAATGTTCAACTCCGTAGCCTTGTAATTTTGAACCCAATCCAGAAGACAAGCGAACTCCCGGATCAAGTATTGGAAATAATTTGCCTTCGTGGAGGACTTTTTGATGGAACTAACCCGCATTTGCGTTACATGGAGAGGAAGACCGTGAGAACCTTCCCACGCTTAGCCTGACGGCAACGGGACTCTAACCCATGATCCGTCTACCACTGAGGATATTTCACATCAGCACTGTGGTCGGT